ACCTTGTATATTTATTTATCCTCTTTTTCATAAATATGTATTACTTATTACCAAATCTCTTTCTACACATAGCTCAATTAAAGGCTCCCCATTTACATTTACCCCTGGCACCCCAAATATTTACCTACTACTCCCTCCGTAACATTTTTAACCCACTTTAGCATTGAAATCCCCAACCACCATTACTCTCACACTTGATTCAAAACTCCCCACGCATTCACTCAACATTTCCCAAAATCTCTCTCTCTCCTCTACACTTCTCTCTTCTCCAGGTGCATACACGCTTATTATAACCTACTTTTCACATCCAATCTTTATTTACTCCACATAATCCTTGAATTAATACATTTAAGTCCCTCTTTTCCTGCCATAGCTTATCCTTCAACATTATTGCTACTCCCTCTTTAGCTCTAACTCTATTTGAAACCCCTGACCTAATCCCATTTATTCCTCTCCATTGAAACTCTCCCACCCCCTTCAGCTTTGTTTCACTTAAAGCCAGGACATCCAGCTTCTTCTCATTCATAACATCCACAATCATCTCTTCTGATCATCTCGCACAACATCCACGCACATTCAGACTTCCCACTTTGACAATTTATTATATATATATATATATATATATATATATATATATATATATATATATATTTATATATATATATATATTATATATATATATATATATACTATATATGAAAGCTCCAGTAATTTTCAAGTACAAGTAATGCCTTGACGTGGTTAGACTCGTAATCAAGTCAAAACAAAGTTAATTATAATTCTTCGAATAATATATCGTTCCAATCATAGCTACCTACAAAGCAAGAGCTTACACAAAGGTAAAGACATAGTTTGTCGAAACATCAGAATATAACACAACGGAGCAGGAGCAAAGAGAAATTTATCAAACCCAACAGAGATCTTCAATAGAATCTCTATAGAAGTCGTACTACTAGAAAGAACCACAACGTTAGTCAGTATCAGAATCACTGTCTGGGAATAACTCTGTCCTTCACCGATACTCAGAGTAGCGAGAAACAGGTTCCGGCTCACCAACGAAACCTTCTTCTACCCAAAACTCGAGTTGAAAAAAACATTCAGAAAGAGGCAGATGTTTCCTGGGCTAGAGGCAGGTAGGGACTGACCCAGGCAACGCCCTGACCCTTACATCAAGTCGGTTCACGGGACACCCCCGAGAGACCGATTGACCTTAACAATCCGTAGTTACCTGGAGTTTACCTGGAGAGAGTTCCGGGGGTCAACGCCCCCGCGGCCCGGTCTGTGACCAGGCCTCCTGGTGGATCAGAGCCTGATCAACCAGGCTGTTACTGCTGGCTGCACGCAAACCAACGTACGAGCCACAGCCCGGCTGGTCAGGAACCGACTTTAGGTGCTTGTCCAGTGCCAGCTTGAAGACTGCCAGGGGTCTGTTGGTAATCCCCCTTATGTATGCTGGAAGGCGGTTGAACAGTCTCGGGCCCCTGACACTTATTGTATGGTCTCTTAACGTGCTAGTGACACCCCTGCTTTTCATTAGGGGGATGTTGCATCGTCTGCCAAGTCTTTTGCTTCGTAGTGAGTGATTTTCGTGTGCAAGTTCGGTACTAGTCCCCTAGGATTTTCCAGGTGTATATAATCATGTATCTCTCCCGCCTGCGTTCCAGGGAATACAGTTTTAGGAACCTCAAGCGCTCCCAGTAATTGAGGTGTTTTATCTCCGTTATGCGCGCCGTGAAGGTTCTCTGTACATTTATCTAGGTCAGCAATTTCACCTGCCTTGAAAGGTGCTGTTAGTGTGCAGCAATATTCCAGCCTAGATAGAACAAGTGACCTGAAGATGTCATCATGGGCTTGGCCTCCCTAGTTTTGAAGATTCTCATTATCCATCCTGTCATTTTTCTAGCAGATGCGATTGATACAATGTTATGGTCCTTGAAGGTGAGATCCTCCGACATGATCACTCCCAGGTCTTTGACGTTGGTGTTTCGCTCTATTTTGTGGCCAGAATTTGTTTTGTACTCTGATGAAGATTTAATTTCCTCGTGTTTACCATATCTGAGTAATTGAAATTTCTCATCGTTGAACTTCATATTGTTTTCTGCAGCCCACTGAAAGATTTGGTTGATGTCCGCCTGGAGCCTTGCAGTGTCTGCAATGGAAGACACTGTCATGCAGATTCGGGTGTCGTCTGTAAAGGAAGACACGGTGCTGTGGCTGACATCCTTGTCTATGTCAGATATGAGGATGAGGAACAAGATGGGAGCGAGTACTGTGCCTTGTGGAACAGAGCTTTTCACCGTAGCTGCCTCGGACTTTACTCTGTTGACTTAGCAAAGGCTGTTTCCAACATAATTCAACAAAAACACGTCCTACCTATTTACATAGCTAATAATATAGGATTAGATAATAATACAAAGCAAGATATCCTTATTTTAGCTACTAATGAAGATATCAGCAATATAATATTAAGTGAAAAAGGAAATTATATACGTACATACAATAATAATTATAAACATTGGGTCTCACACAGGGGACGCAACATTTGCAGTGTGAAAATTTGACAGGGTTATCTAAATCATCCTATTAATAGTTTGGGACACTAGGGAATAACTTAAGAGGCAAATAGGAGCCTGAAGGCCTACAAAAGAGACATGGGTATGTTTCTAACAGGTTGAGGTCTTGCAAGTAAAAATTGTGATCGAACTAGCAATCTGAGATCATGCAAGGATACAGGACATTACCGGCCAACTGAAGAACTATTAACAAGTCACAAGGATTTACTAAAAGTCACAATGGTTCACTAAGAATCACAGGGAATCACTAAGAAAGAATCATAATGGTTCACTAAAAGTCACAAATGTTTGCTAAAACTCAGTGGTTCGCTAAAACTCACAGTGGTTCGCTAAAACTCACAGTGGTTCGCTAAAACTCACAGTGGTTCGCTAAAAGTCACAATCCTTCACTAAAAGTCATAATGGTTCACTAAGTCACAAGTGTTTACTAAACGAATCTAGGGCTAGGAGTCATGGGACCATACTAGAAAGGCCAGGGATACTACTTGGGTGTTACGTGTACCAAGCCTGAAAATCCTGCGGTGCAGAATGCCTCCCGGGGATGTGTCAGTTGACAAGACACACAAACTCGACACTCCCCTGTGGCTGCCTGCTCTCCAATTAACCTAAGTGACCATTTCTAAAGCTGCTCCACTATACATAAATAGGGTTTTCCTACAAATATAAACGCTATTTTATATTATATATATAATATAATATATATATATATATATATATATATATATATATATATATATATTATATATATATATATATATATATATATATTATATATAAATATATATATATATATATATATATATATATATATATATATATATATATATATATATATATATATATATATAGGTAGGTATTAGGTTGGTAGACAGCAACCGCCCAGGGAGGTACTACCGTCCTGCCAAGTGAGCGTAAAACGGAAGCCTGTAATTGTTTTACATGATGGTAGGATAGCTGGTGTTTTTCTTTTCTGTCTCATAAACATGCAAGGTTTCAGGTACGTCTTGCTACTTCTACTTACACTTAGGTCATACTACACATACATGTACAAACATATATATATATATACACCCATCTGGGTTTTGTTCTATTTTCTTTCTAGTTCTTGTTTATTTCCTCTTAGCTCCATGGGGAAGTGGAACAGAATTCTTCCTCCGTAAGCCATGCGTGTTGTAGGAGGCGACTAAAATGCCAGGAGCAAGGGGCTAGTAACCTCTTCTCCTGTATATATTACTAAATGTAAAAGGAGAAACTTTCGTTTTTCCTTTTGGGCCACCCTGCCTCGGTGGGATACGGCCGGTGTGTTGAAAGAAGAAATAATATATATATATATATATATATATATATATATATATATATATATTATATATTATATATATATATATATATATATATATATATATATATATATATTTATATATATATATATTAGTTCTAATATTTAAAAGAACATTATCTAAGTTTACGAATGTCCTAGAGAAATAATCAAGTTTAGTTTGTCCCATCAGAAGAGGTCAAAAGTCACAGTTACTGATGCGCGAAGTGACTCGTGAGGTCAACATATTAGAAATTCACTTGTTACTGACTGGGCATTACATGAGAAGGATGGCTCCAGTGCACCGGAAACACTTTCATCTGCTTGATACGAGGACTGGCACTTGGACTTCCATCAGGGTGACGTCCCACTGGGATCCCTGATGTGGGAGCCTCGTGCTCCTGGCTTTGATGGAACCCAATTAAGTAGTTTTTTTTTGTCTATCTTGGTTGCTGTTGTCAATTGAGGGTTCTGCAAGAGTGGGTCACATGATTGCAGTGTTGCTGCAGTGTTGCTGGGTGCAGCACAGTGTGTTGTTGCAGTATTGCTGGGTGCAGCACAGTGTGTTGTTGCAGTGTTGCTGGGTGCAGCACAGTGTGTTGTTGCTGGGTGCAGCACAGTGTGTTGTTGCTGGGTGCAGCACAGTGTGTTGTTGCTGGGTGCAGCACAGTGTGTTGTTGCTGGTGGCACAGTGTGTGTTTGGCTGGGTGCAGACAGTGTGTTGTTGCTGGGTGCAGCACAGTGTGTTGTTGCTGGGGCAGCAGTGTGTTGTTGCTGGGTGCAGCACAGTGTGTTGTTGCTGGGGGGCAGCACAGTGTGTTGTTGCTGGGTGCAGCACAGTGTGTTGTTGCTGGGGTAGAACAGTGTGTTGTTGCTGGGTGCAGCACAGTGTGTTGTTGCTGGGTGCAGCACAGTGTGTTGTTGCTGGGTGCAGCACAGTGTGTTGTTGCTGGGTGCAGCACAGTGTGTTGCTGCTGGGTGCAGCACAGTGTTACTACTATAGACGATCCCCCAGTGATCGACGCAGACGTAAAGTACTGATTCTCATTTTGTTTCTTTATCTCTCTGTCCCCCCCCCCCTCTTCACTCTCATTCTCCATCACCCTCCACAGAAACACGCCCGTCCCATGTTTTACATCAACTGCGGCTACCGAGACTTGTGTTACTGCTACAGTAAGATCACACGCCATCACTACTGTTGTTCCTGCGACGTGGGTTCCTGCTTCCCCGCCCACGCCCGCCTCCCCACGCCCACGGGCGCCACCACCACCATGGGCCATCTAAGAACAGGAGATCAAGTCTTGGCAGGTGAGTAAAGAAATCAGACTCAACTGAACACCTTACTCAGAGAAATATTGATGTCTTTCCATCGTTAGGTCTACCTAGAGAGGAGAGGCAAGGATAATAAAACGGAAGGCTCTCTCCCCACTCGTCACTCCGGTCACATAGTTAAGGTGACGGGAATGTTCATATACTGAGACGTCCGCTATTTGGATAGTAAGAGAGGCTGCCTTTAGACTATAGCTAGAATGACTATTCATACTTCTACTACTACTGCAGTACTACTAATACTACAGCTATTATTACTAATAAATTTACTTCCTGTTTAAGTCTCACTTACACTAGGCTGGTCCCTTCCCCAATAAACTTACTTTTTTCCTTTTCCCCTTTTCTAAATTTCCCCTCATAAAAAGGGACCTTTTTCCCCTTTTCCATTAACCCTAAATTGGGCCAACGTTGACCCCCAAATCCCCAAAACTATACCCCATTCAAACATAATGTTGCCACACTACCTTTCAAAAAAAAAATATCTTTTCCACAACAACCCCCTTTTTATTTATTTAAGAACTCCCCCTTTTAAACCCATTACCCTAGCCCTTATCCATAACCCCCACCCTTTCCCATACGCCTCCCATGATCAAGGGGATAATAGCGTTTCCGGCCGCACCAGTCCAACGTTTAACGGCCGGGACAAGTCCCGGGGCCGATCCGCCCCCCGACCCTTTAAGGTGATATCTGTCCACTTTGGGGTCCCCCCCCTCTTGGAAGAGCAGCCAGGGGGTTTTTTGGCAATTCCCCTAATGCTTGATGGGAGGCTGTTGAACAGTTTTGGGCCCCGGACACTTATGGTGTTTTCTCTTAGTGTACCAATGGCGCCCCTATGGGGAGACTGTGATTTAGAGAGACGGGTCCTGGGGTGGATGGGGGAGGTTATGGAGAGAGAAGGGCTCTGGGGTGTACGGGGGAGGTTGTGATTTTGAAAGATGGGTACTGGTGTGGACAGCGGGGAGGTTGTGGAGAGAGATGGGTCCTGGGATGGGTGGTGGAGGTTGTGATAGAGAGACAGATGGCTCCCAAGGGGTGTGAGTGGGTTCACTGCTGTGACCAGGAAGTGAACACAATAATGATCGTTCGAGTTCAGAGAGAGCCGAGGGGGCAGGAGGTAGGGGGAGCCTCAAAACTCCATCAATGTATGCCAGATTTCCAACGTTACCTTAACTCCAACAGACTTTGAGAAAGCCACTGACAACATGCCCATGCACTCAGCCCCAGGCCCAGACTCGTGGAACTCTGTGTTCATTAAGAACTGAAAGAAACCCCTTTCGCGTGCCAAAACTTTACTATGGAGAAGGAGCTTAGACATGAGTGAAATTCCAATCACTAAAAACAACCGATATAGCCACACTCCATAAAGGTGGCAACAGCCACGGATCAGCCGGGCTGTGGTTCGTACGTTGGACTACGTGCGGCCAGCAGTAACAGCCTGGTTGATCAGGCCCTGATTCACCGGGAGGCCTGGTCGTGGACCGGGCCTCGGGGGTAGACTCCAGGCAGGTAGGTACTACTGCCATCTTTAACATTTAAAATAGCTAATTGTAAAATAAGGACAGCAATGGTGAGTGTGGGAAAGTGGTGGTGAGCGTGGGCAAGCGGTGGTGAGAGGTGTGGGCAAGCGGTGGTGAGAGGTGTGAGCAAGCGGTGGTGAGAGGTGTGGGCAAGCCGTGGTGAGAAGTGTGGGCAAGACAATTCATACCGCTGAACTCTGATTCTTTCCTTTACCCGTTATCCTCTCTCCCTCACCCCACACCTGACAATAATTCACGACCCCAGGAGCGGGAGGAAGAGAGGGTGAGGAGTGGGAAGGGAGAGGAAGAGGGAAGGATGCTAGGTTAGCAACGGAGAAAACCTGAGGAAGGTGATCATAAAATATAATATTGAGAGTTGGTAAGAGTGGAGGGCGGGGCAGAGATGGAGAAGAGTAGAGGAAAAGGCGATGAAGCGAGCAAAGACAGCAAGAAGAAGAGAAGCAAGGGAAGCTGCATCACAAACACCCCCACCCAGGAGCTATGACACGAATCCTGCAAATTGAAATCGGCAAGCGCGCACACGCACACACACACGCACACACACACACACACACACACACACACACACACACACACACACACACACACACACACACACACTAGTAGCGATCAGCGAAGAAGCGGGGCCAGAAGTTGTGAATCGACTCCTGCAACCACAAATAGGAGAGTACAAGTAGGTGAGCACACACACACGGACATACACAGTATGAGGAGAGCTTAACAAAAGACTCGAAGTCTTTACAGAAGTCACTGTAGTCCTACTGCAGCGCGTCGTATGGGTCAACATTCTGCCTTCGTGTCTGTTTTACAACTTGAGTGCCTGGTATGATAGTGCCTCACAAGGAGAGAAAGGCCTACTGTAATTTCTTTTCTCTTATAATCTTGTATAAAATAAAGCAATGTATGGCAGCAGCATACTAGCCTCTTACTTTTGTGTTATATATATGGAGATACGTTGCAAGGTGCACAGCGAGAGAGCACGTCAAAGGCGATTTCATGCAAATTTACTTTATATGAGGGAGCAAGATTATGTGAGGAGGAAGTGGAGAGGATTTGGGGGGTGAGGGGAATGAAAGGACAGGAAAGGGGGCAGTGGGGGCCTAGGCACTTGGGTTAGGGGTAGAGAGCAAGAGGATAAAATACAAAGTACACTTGGTGAGAAGTTGACTACTCTAATAATGTATGGAGACTCGGAGAACAAGTACCTAAAGAGGGACAGGACTTACCACGAATAGCAGAAAGGTTGGAGATTCTAGGAAGAATATCTTAATAATATGGCTGAAGTAATTCACAACTTGCACGAGTGTAGAAGAAATTATAGACTCAATGTGAAATGGGAGACACCGATGACCACAGCCTCCTAGGAAGGCGAGGAGGAACACATAAGTAAAGAACAAAACACCTCAACCCCATACCCCAAAACGAGGATATCTACTACCAGTCGTGCCTTGCCACCATCACATTTATTCATTATATTCATGTAAATTGATTTTATTCATCCATTCGCCTGTTCAATATGTTGGCAGTGGATGAATCGGGAAAAGTTGTGCCGACCACAATCCTGGGATTCATGGACCGTCGTCCTCGGGAAGCAGCTCTCTATGTGACGCTGCGCACCTCCATGGGCCACAACCTGACATTGTCACCCAACCATGTCCTCTTTAAGAGTGCCCCAAACTCAAGCCATCCAGTCAGTGTCTTCGGCTCGGATATCAACATTGGTGATGTCATATATTCCACCAATCAGACGGGAATACACAAAACTGAGATCATTGCAATTGATCACGAGGTTACACAAGGTAAGGTGTGTATGTAAAACTAATTTAATTATATGCATATAAAAAGGTATATGAGCTGACCTCTTTAAAATAAATTAATAACAACAATAATAATAATATAATAATTATTATTATACTTCCAGTTATTAAGACCTATCGTCAACACAGTAGCTATTATGGCCATAATCACTAAGCATTTATTAGTAAGTAGTGATTGCTTCTAAGCGGAATTCGGCCATTAATTACACTTTCAATATTACAATATTAAGTTTGCTATATAGTGGAGATATATTTTTTGTTTGTAAATGGTAAAAAAAAAGTTACCAAACCTAACATAACCCACCTAACCTAACGTAACCTAACAACCTAACCTTACCTCCGTCATCATTACTGGCGCCTCTTTGTTTACTTTCGGCCAGGCACATATTCCATAACCAAAATTAACATAATATTCCCTACTATCTCCCAAAATAACAAAATGTGAACGAAATGCTTATTTCGTGGTGTATATAGGTTATAAGTATTTTAAAATATTAACCAATGTCCGGGTTCCGCCGAGTTGTAGTCGTAAACCTTAGCCATTAATAACACTAAGCATAATCCTTAATACAGCCTATCGAGTACAGAGGTCATTAGGGCTGCCTATAACTTTGTTCACCTGTCAACAATATTTTAATCCCTAAAATATAGTCAAGCAAACAATCGGTGTATATACACAGATACATACCTCTGTGTATATGTTCTGGATTATTATTATTATAATCAAAAAAGAAACGCTAAGCCACAAGGACTATACAGCGGTATATGTTCTGGAGCCAGTCAAACATGCCGAACTTTCTTAAAAAAATACTAAATTATGTTTTTTTATTTTAAAAAATTTTTTAATCCTTCACTAAAATTTAAATATGCCTAATTCAATCCAGTCGTGGTCTGGCCAGATTTGTGGACATTCAGTATTTTGTTTAAGTAATGTTAAGGTTAAGGGCCCGTTCTTTCAGATTCAAATTAGATTAAAAAATTGTTTAACTTCAGCGGACTGAAATTATGCACTTAGGAAAGTTCTTAAATATTTCATATGAACTAGTGAGTCGCACAGCAAAATGTTCTGGAAATTCAATGTTGTTAATGTAAGATGTCATCTTGATCCTGCGTTCGTTGTTTGACTATGATGTGAATACAGATATTAGCCAGACATAATTATCCTACTCACTATGAACAAGGTAATTGCTTGTATAAATCACAACATATATTTTTGTGTATTAATGATTAAATTTTCTTGATCAAAAACTACTTTGTGATATCCTTATTTAACCGAATAACTGTGTAATATAAATAAAATTGACTTAAAAGTTTATTGTAGTTAGTCTGTATAATATAATGCTGGTGTGTACAGGAGCGTATGTGCCACTGACGAGGGAGGGGACGCTGGTGGTGGAGGGCATCGTAGTATCCTGCTACGCCTCCTACAAGCACTCCCTGGCCCACACCTTCTTGGCTCCTGCCCGCATCTTCCCCGCCCTCCTCTACCTTAGACCTGGGTTCGTATCTCGCCTCGTTACCTCTGTGGAAAACCTCGCTGGCAACGTAATGAAGACGCTATTGTTGGTGCTGCAAGACGCCGCAGGAGGCGGAGCAGGAAAAGGCAAGACCCCCAAAAGTCAGAGTATTAAAAAGGAGGGTTAAAGATACCCTTTTTTGAAGAGTAGGAGTGATGAGTCCCGACGGAGGGGGAGAACCTACTCATCAGCCTGGTAAAGCTTGGGGTTTTGCGTCCCGGAAGGAGAAGGCCCCCCCCGGGTACCCCGGGTGAGGGCTGTGGTGAGGAGGGGGGCTGCAGGTGCTCGGGCTCCCCACCCCCCCCTCAGATCCCTACACACCTGGACTGCTCGCCAGGCCCTGGAAAACTCCATCTCCTCCCGCCACCATAAACCAACTGGCTCCCTCCACCACGGGTGGCAGCGAATTTAGAACGAAGTAGGAATCCCTCCCTAAAACATAACTCAGTCAAGCGAAGCAATAGATGATCGTAAAGTTTTGGGCGGTCCCGACAACTGTAATAAAACACGGATGTACAAAACACGACATTTTTTAACAAAAGTCCCCCCGAGTGACTGCAAAGCCCCTGTGGTGAAAATGCCCTTTATTTCCTGACTGATATAAGTGTCCTTACCCCTAGTGAGCATCTTGTTGATACAATTTTCTTGCAACAACCCTCCTATGCACTAGGTCATCATTCCTCAAGACATGATACATCGTTTAGGTTATTAGTAAAGGGGCTGCACCCCTGTGCGTTTTTCCAGAGCAAGTGGCAAAGGGGTTTGATCCCCCCGGGTCTGGGCCCGATCCTGACTTTACAAAATCCTTTTTAACTTGCCATAACTTGAGGTCTGTAATGACTCTTTTTCAACTACAAAATCCCTTTATATATTTAAAAAAATTAATGAAACAATCAACCTCAAAATTTACAAATAAACTTTGAAGCTTACTTCACACTTTTAATGATTAAATCTTGAAAGTGTAACTAATGAAATAGAAGATATAAAAAATAAAAGCTTAGAAAATTTATTAACGAAAAGAAAAAATACATACAATAAAAATTTTTCAGGGTACAACAATGAGCTAAATAACTAACCAAACATAAAACTTTTTCGACGCACACTGAGTCAAGAATTTTACAAAAACCATATAATATAACAAAAAGTATTGTCAACAGCCCAGTCACTGAGTAAAGATATATTACATAGTCTGGAAACAGTCTGCAGTGGCCCACAAACCACGTAGCCTCATCTCAGACAGTGGTTAGTAATATACCTGCTCTAATTCTAATGATATAATTGTTTTTATTAGAACATGAGTGTGAACGAGGCTATTATGAATGCTTCCCCATTATACAAAATTCTGCCTTCCATGGGTGACCATTATCGAGTACCTATTAACAAGAGGCTGGTACGTGTGACCATTGTAAATAAGGAAAATTAAGAGGGTAATAATTTACAATTGTTTGCAAAATCGATCTATAAATGTATACAATTACTTATAAATCTACCATTAAATGTAAACAATGACTTATAAATCAGATCAACTTATAAACTATGCACTAACCTATAAAGTCAACTCCCAGATACGTACACAGTAACTAACCAAATTTAGCTAACGATACATGATTCAATGTATACATCACTTGTCAGGTAAAACCACACACTTACTTCAACTCACGGGTATACACAAGTACATTAATATCGCACCAACGTATACACACATTAATACCACATACAGCTACACACGCACACACATACTATTATCACTTTACAGTTGCACACACACACACACACACACACACACACACACACACGGCAACCTTAGAGTGTACAGTCACTATATAAGTGTACATACACAAAAAAATAGTAACAAATAAGTATACACTACTGTACACTTTATCAGTAAAAGTACACTAAAATGACTGCCCAATTTGATCAATATAAACACAATGATACATTATTATTATTATAATGGGGAGAGCTAAACCCATAGGATTATACAGCATATGTAGGGGGGGGGGGATAGAAGGCATTCTGGCTCAATTCGGGGAACTGGAGCACAGATGCAATTCCCTAGATCAAGAGCCCTCACCAGCGTCAAGGAACCTCCTGTGAGGGGACACAATGATACAGCCTCCGTCAATAGTTTAACCATTTCATCATGTGACTATATATGTAGAGTGAGAGAAGTGACCAGGGCAGGAAACTCAGATACTGTACAAGACACAGCACTGGCCTGTATTACGCTTACATTGTCTCAGATATGAATTATGTAAATAAAGGCATAACACAAGAGCACTTGGTCGTTCTTATGAAACCTTACTAATAATAATTTGCGCGAATTTGCTAACTCGTAAGTTGTACAGGGGCTTGACTCAAGGATCCGGAGCACAGATCCACTTAATTAGGTCAAGAGCCCATCACTAGCATCAAGGAACATCCTTTGAATTAGTTCATCAAATTTATGTAAACAAAAGGTATCCAAATGATTAAGTATATAAACCAAGAGGTACATATACATTGAAAAGTGCTTTATGTCAGTGTATATAAAACAAAGTGTATCTCTCTTAGGGCATATACACTGAGAGGTGTACAGCTTTCGCTATATATAAACTGAAGTATATACTGTGTGAAAATACTATATATTTTTTGAAATACAGTATATGTAAATTGATGGCCTATATTGTATTTAGTAAATTTTTTTATAAAAAATGGGAAGCCCTGCGCCTGCACAGTAGAGAATCGCCATTGTTGTTTGAATTGGACAAGAAACGTTAGTGAATAATCGGAAGAATTTTCGTCGCTCTAGAGGTTAAATTGGACTGACACCTCTCAAATAGGAGCCGAAATTGTTGGATGTGCATTTCTGCATAAGTTGAGCATTAAACCGATGTACAGGGCAGCTCCAGGAACCTCAGGTAAGTCTGTTTATGTTAAATTCTGGCCAGTAAATTTATCATAAATGTAGGCAAAAAGGGGAGCCCTGTACATCACACAGTAATCTCCAGTCAAATTGGTGAGTGGTATTAAGATATATTCTCCTTATGTTATATAACTGTGCATATGTAATCATTTATTAATTTTAATATACATTTCACAAATTTTTATATTTACCAGAATTCCTGGTGATGCATATTTCATTTGTAATTAATAGGTCTAGAGCAACTTGTGGATATGACAGTTGTAGGTATCGAAGGGGGACATTTTTGCGACCTAGGTGTCCCAAATTCCTACTTGTCTATGTAACTTTGATTAATAATAATTATCTTTGTTATCATTTACTGGTATGTACATTATGAGTTACATCCAGATAAATGTAATTTTCCACATATACATTGTTAGAGCACATATAGTTAGAGGGATATTCATGACAGGGCATAAACACCTACAGCCATAGATCTGTCAAGGTATATAAATCGGGAGTTGTATTCACTACAGACACCGAGAGGCGCATATAGTTACATATCTGTGGGGGATTTACACAGGGAGATGTATATTTATTAATGTATACCTCAATATTTATTTTAACCTTTGCTTGAGAGAGTAAAAAAGTGGAAGGCTATTGATAAGGATTAAATTCTCAGGCAATTAGCTCTTGCAAAGCAAGTTTCTGGACTTCACTTTCATCCGAGATTATCTTAAATACTAGAAAATCGATGTAGAGAGTTTTTGCTATTACTCATTACTCATAACAAAGAAAATGGATGTACGTAGCTACATTTGTTTAGTAATGCAACGTTCCCGTCTCACACAATGAGTGTCCGTGGTTCCCCGGCCGGCCATATTTCCCTACGTTTGCTGTTCCTATTAGTAAGTAGGTACCTGGGTATTAGTTGACTGGTATAGGTCGCATCCTGGGGAACAAGATTGAAGTACCGCATTAGAAATAAGACTTCTCGATAACGAATTGGCTTTTTTAGGTTATTCTGGATGACTAATCCTCCGGGTTTAAAATACGAAAAAAATCACATGATGCCTATTACTTGTGGCATAATAGAAAATGGATGTAGGAAGTTTTGTTTAGTTATGTCTATTACTTGTGGCACCATAGAAAATGTATTTAGGAAGTTTTCTTTAGTTATACCTATCAGAAACCTAGAAAATGTATGTAGTGAATTTGGTTAAGTTATGCCTATCACTCAAAGTATTATAGAAAAAGGATGTAGTGAGTTTTATACTTATTACTCATGGTATCATAGAAAACGTAGGGAGCTTTTAGTTACACCTATCATTCACAGTAACATTGAAAATGGATGTAGAAGTTTTGTTTAGTTACGTATATTATTCATGGCAACACTGTTCACACCAAGAATTCCATCTACGTACCTATGTGTGGAGGGTTGCGGAGGTTATCAACTCCTCACCCCGACCTAGGATAAACCCGACTGAAACTGATAAATCATTCTGTTGGTGCTAGTAGCACCAAAATAATAATGAGGAGTTAGACACATGGCGACACCAGGGAATCTTTATTGGAAAAAGTTTCACCAACCAGTGGCTTTATCAATTCAATACAACGATTATTTGAAGGTGCTGAAACTGGACACAGTATAACAAGACAACAGGCCTTAAAAATCCGAACAAAATCTTATCTTAGCCTCGCAAAACTATATACAGGGAGCCAAAATCGGGCCACCACTTGGAAAAGGCCTGGGCCGGGAGAATACCGGCGAATCTTTAATAATAATAATACAGAGACAGTGGGAGATGAAGTAATCAAATCCTTCAGCCTGAAAGTATGTGTTCACCAAGGTATTGCGGTACTAAGACTAAGGTGGTGAACACCGGCTTCCACTGTCTTCTGTGTATAGTTCTACAAGGCTGAGGGATTGACTACCACGTCTTCTGTATCTCTGCAACATTAAATATGTTTTAATGTAATGCTTATGTGATTGAATTTATTAAGTGTATAAACAACTCACTTATATTGCTTATGAGTATTTAACAAAATATTGAGGCCTAGTAGTTGGTCCCATTCTATGGCTTTGTAATCTTTTGATTACTGCCCACAGGATGAGTATGGGGTAACTACAACCCACAGGATGGGCATGGGGTAACTACATCCCACAGGATGGGCATGGGGTAACTACATCCCACAGGATGGGCATGGGGTGACTACAATCCACAGGAAATAGGGCGACTACCACCCACAGGATGGATATGGGGATGCTACTGCCCACAGGATAAGTATGGGGTGACTATAGCTCACATGATAGTTATGGGGTGCGTATTATTATTAGTATTATTATATTATAAAAAGAAGTGCTAAACCTACTAGGGTCATACAGCGCTGCTATGAGGTGCGTAATAATGCCATCAAACCAAAAAAATGGTTCGAAGAGGCATTCTTGTCAGTGCTAAGACATTCATTCATTCATTTACATTAAAAGAAACGACTGAGTGGCAGTCCTGTCACTTCTTTACAATAAAGCTTTGGTGCATGTTGTTAATTGTCAATAACAATAACAACTTATTGTTCCGGGAGAGATTAAGTACCCCAGACGAAATTCTTCCTATATGATACATCACTGAGTTGATGCAACACAGTTAAGAAACTATTATATTACTACTAGGCCCTTAATGTATACATTTATAAAATTTGTAGGACTACATAAATGTATACATATATAAAATTTGTAGTACATAGCCAAAATTAGTCAGTGATTAAGGGAAGTTGTGTGAACCTGTCTGATTCTCAAGGAATTTTAAGTTAAGTGTTTGAACACAATTTTCAGGAATGTTGTGAGACTTCCCTTCGTAGTAAGGTCTTTGATGGAGGATGATACATTGAGCCACTGAAAGAATGATACATCCTCCATCAAAGACCTCACTATGAAAATTAGTCCCACATCTCATAACTTCCACAGCAGGCGTTTTCACCATCCACTGGGGATACTGTCCCAAGAAATATGTAGGAGAAACAGGCAGAACTCAAGCGCCTGCAACAGAGATGACTTAAAGAATGTCTGTGACCTGATGGTTTTCACTCGGAATAACGTATTCTTGATATAAGCGTAAAGTGAATGAATTGTGGCTTCACTGACACTAAAGCAGCCGATAACCTTTTAACTATAAGAACTACTAGGATGTCTGCGATGTACAACGACTGCCTACAGAAGTACCCTGGCAGGAGGTACTGGTCCATGTCTCCCTCTCATATTTAATCTGCATGACGAGGCATTGGACGCTCAATCACACACGACTAGGCTTTCTTTATGGTGAGCTCAATACTGCTACCAGTGGTGGCAGACTCAACAAGTGGTTCTGGTGTTGTTCTTGAATGCAACAACCTGTGGCTTCTCTGAGGCTGTGAACTGCAGGGTGATGATGAGGTAGGTAGCTACGAAGTTCACCACCTGCATTGTAAACACACTTTTTAGATATATTCTGAATACAATGATGGTATGCAGTATCGACAAGTTGACAAGTAAGACACGTGCAACAGTTATGTATCTTTACTGCAAGTACAGAGACAGCAGAAGAAAAGGTGCATATGATCAGTCTGTGAACCTTGAAGTAACAGTTTGAGGTGATCAGTCCCTCAGCCTGGAGATGTGTTCAATTTTCATGATCTTGAAACTTGGTTCAGTACTGTGAAAGTGACCATATATCCAGGTTGAAGGACTGATCACCTCAAACTATTTATCCTCAAGGTTGACGGATTGATCACATTGTATTTATTTCTCCATTGCCTCTCCTGTTTCGGTATTTGCAACCTCTGCATTCGACTGATGAAGCCTACCGAGCTGTTGTGCACATGTGTCTTATCAACATACATTCCACTTATCACAAACAAAATTATACTTTTTAGGTAAACACTTCCATACTTTTGCTACTACTACTGTTACTACTACTAGTTACTACTACTACTAGTTACTACTACCACTACTGTTACTACTACTACTACTACGTCTACTGTTATTACTTCAAATTATTTCTAATTAATTAATAATTACAGATGGTCTGAAGAGCAGATTAATATCTAAATCACTGGGGACACGGTTATCAAACAAACTGATTTCAGCAAAATAAGTCCCAGTGCTAGGACAACTCATTTTTAAAAGGTTTTAACAACTGCAAGGGGGAATTTAGTGAGCCGCTAACTAGCCTTTCCAGTATATTACAGCAAAGTGGTGTCGGACCCGAGATGTTAAAGATGGCTAAAGTAATACCTGCCTTCAACTAATGAGATTAGTTCATACCATCATATTACAGCCCGATAAGCCTGACCTAATAGTAGGCAAATTATTGGAGTCAGTAATATAAGAAGCCCCCCATTGATGAGCGTAGAGATC